GATAGCGGCATAAGAAGCTCGCGGGAAAACGCGCGGCCCGTACGCATCCCGAGAGAGACGAGCCGCTTTCAGGTACGCGTGTGCGTGTGAAACAGCGCGTTGGTGCGTGTGTTTACAACCTGTGGGTGGTGCGGCAGCGGCAGCGGCGGCGTTAGGCACCGATTACGCGATATGGATTCGTGGTGGACACGGGTGGAGGCGGAAGACGGCAGATGACGGGAAACGCGGCCGAGCCCGGCGAGAGGAGGCGCCGAACGAAAGTGAAAACGGAGGACTGCACGGTGCGCACTGTGATGGGAGGATGCGTCGCCCTCGGGAGAACGACGACGAAGGGTGCTGGGAAGATGAACGCCGGAAGGCGACGAATGCCTTGAGCTCTCCCCGTAAGTGCGTTTCTTTCCCTTTCGCCGCCTTCCTTCGAATGAGACGCGCGGAAGTCGCGGCGTTCGGCGGTTGGAGGGAAAAGCTGATAAATCGACGGACTTTCACTTTGCGTTAAATAAAACAAAATTTTGCAATTCGATTTCCGCTCTCATCGAAATTGCGTTTAATCAAAATGGATCGTTAATTATTTATACGTGGCTGTGAATTATTTATTTCGTGAAATGTAAGACGATAAGTCGCAAAATCGATCGAACGATATGTAGACTATTCTTGAAATAGATGGGCAAAATTTGGTAAATTTATTTCTGAGCCAAGATCTGGAACTGGCTTCCATTTATAAAGAAATTATTATGACCTCAATGGCTCTCATAGCTGAAGTAATTCAAAATGGGAGGCAAAATTCTTGCCAAAATTAAGTTTCAGAGTTAATCAATAATTAAGCTTTGTTAGTTAAGTTTAGTTAAGCTTAGTTAAGCTTAGTTTAAATTTATATTAATTTTACTTTAATAAAATTGAAATTTTTCATATAAATCAGAAGACGGTTTCCACCGGTTTTCGAAATAACGTGCTAATATCAAGTAGCTGTGTTTTTTTTCATGTTTTGATGTGACTCGATAGCTCTCGGCCTATCATTTATCGATCATTTATTTATTTTTCATCCCGTTGCGTGCTTTATTGCGTGCATCTAGCAACGAGAGACGTATAGTTTAGATAAAACATCGCGAACGCGACATCGCCGGCGCAAAAAGGCAATGAACTGCTTCGCAGCATGAACGGTGGAATGGAAAATACGCTACCTTTCGCCGCACGCGACGGAAGCAACGGAAAATCGTTGCCGCGGAATTCTGGGAAAATAACAACTGCACCACTGTACCAGCGATAATATTAATATGCTGCTGCTTATAGAATCTCCGTATCGATTCTAAACGTAATCCTCCTTGCCTCGTTACAGTTGCTTTACAACCCTTGCCCGTTGTTTTGATTATGTTATAACATCCATATAAATTATTTCATTCAGATACGAAAGCTATCACCCTTGTATCCCCTTGTTTGACTTTGATTAATCAATTTATTCGGTTATTTATCAAAACCGCTTCTCATTAAGAATTTATTTTTTACTCCACGAGAAAGCTCTATAATTAAACAATATGAATTTTTTAATATCGTGAGAAATCAATGATCTTAATTATTATGATATTCAGAAATTTGTAAGAGCGATTCATGAAATTCTTGATATCCAAAATATGATATTCAAAAGTATGTAAGAATAATGCATGAAATCCTTGAATAATAATTCATAATCGTATTACTCCGTGTGCCACGAAATTCTTTACTCCACAAAAAAATCTATAAAGAAACAATATGAATTTTTTAATATCACGAGAAATTAATAATCTTAATTATTACGAATTATTCAAAAATGTGTAAGAGTAGTTCATGAAATCTTTAAATAACAATTTGTGATCAATAATATTCCGTATGCCATAAAATTTTTTATTCCACAAACAAATCTGTAATAAAACAATATGAATTTTTTAACATCGTGAGAAATCAATAATCTGAATTATTATGATACCCAAAAATATGTAGGAGTGGTTCATAAATCCTTAAATAATAATTCATGCTCAGTAATATTCCGTGTGCCACGAAATTTTTTACTCCGCAAAAAAATCTATAATAAAATTATGAATTTTTTTAACATCGCGAGAAATTAATAATTTTAATTATTATGATATCCAAAATTATGTAGGAATGGTTCGTGAAATTCTTGAATAATAATTCGGTGATCGGTAGTATTTCGTATTCCACGAAATAATCTATGTTACTGTGGTCGATCCGAAACATAGGCGGCTGACCCCACGTTTTACTTCTGCTATGCCCAGTGTTTCTCTAATGCGCGTAGGGAGTCATTTTGATGGAGAAATATTCGATGCCACGTATACCGGCCATAAAGCGTTCGACGAACGGGAGGGTCCGTCGTGGAATGGCGTTAGGGACGAGCTTGGAACAGGAAGAATGTTCATTGACGTTAGAACCCCCCCGTGTCCTGGCAAGGAAGCGTTTCGTTATCTTCGCTCTGAATCATTCGTCGGACGACAAATGTTCCGCGGGGCATTGTCTTCTCTCGCGTGTAAGCGAATAAATTGAACTGTTCGATATGATTTTGGCAGATGAAATTTAGCCAATCATAGCCAATCATTTACATTTCGCGCGAAATTCTTCGTCGATATTTAATTAACAAATGTAAAAGTGAAGAATCATTCTTCAATTTCCTCGCTGTCAAAGTAGGAAACGCGACAATGGTGGATTACATTGTAATCGGTTCGAATTTCGAGGGCTTTTGAGTAACTTTCGCGAGAGTAATTATGTATTCTGCGTGTACAAGCAGCGTCTTACAGTGGAGTGTCTTGTTACTTCGACCAACAACAATCCTGCGTGCAGGGAGTTCGCCTGTAAAACTTAGAAACAACATGACTAAGCGCCTAAGTACATAAGTCTGTTTCTCCTAAGATAAACTGTAACTTCGTACGATATACATTTTCGCAAGCTATACTCATCGCGTCAATGCATATTAATTAACCTGCCGATAAAATTTACAAGGGTCCGCTTCTTACCGCTTATATTATTAAAATGTAATTTCTGTGCGCGGCGCACGAAACTCGCAGTTATCGATTCCGCGGCCGCTAGGCAATCGTCGTATATATATATATATAATTATGTTTTTACAGTTTCGATTGAGAAATTATCACCACTGCTGCGAACGGGATAATTAACTTGAAGAGAGCCAGATTTAATTTCCTATCTGGCGTAATTAGTTTCTTACAAAGTACGTCGCCGCACCGTCTCCTCGTCTTACGTAATTAAGGACATCGAAGATTGTTGTTTTCGAGATTGCCCCGCAGCAGTTGGACGAAGTTTCTCTCAGCGTAAAACACCTGTGATAAATATCGTCGAAAGAACGTCATAGCCTCGTGTTATGTCGACGTCAAAACACAATGTTCCATTTATTTGATTTAAAAGACATAATTACTGAAAAGAATAAGTGATTTTCTCTCGTAACTGAAGAAGTAAGAAAAAAAGAAAAAACTAAAAAATTTTACAAATTTCATTGATAAATTTGCATCTCATTTATTTACACTTGACATGACAGAATCTTTGAAGCGAATGCAGCTTTATGATGACATGTACAAGTTTGAGGGGAGGGTTTTAAAGAGCAATTCCCAGCAACAACCCCGGAGATCCTTCTCCCGTCGACTAATAACCGGGATAAGCGTCGAAATGAAAATCATAGCTTCCCGACGTGCGCTCGCGCGATCGTCTCTTTCGCGAAGGGGTAAAGAGGAGCGCTTTTGATATCCGGGGTTGTCGTTGAAGACGAGAGACACGCGCGTTCACCGACTCCTTTCACTGGAATATTTTCACATCGCGCGGTCGAGAGTCACCCTCTCGCTTCTTCTCGCACGAAAGGCAGGTGAAGGAGGCGCGGTGAGGCGATCTGTCTCTCAAGGGCCGATTCTTTCAGGCTGCAAACCCGGTGGATTGTGTGCGCAAGGACCCACCCTCTTTAGAATTCCCCGTCCGTAGAGGAGCTCGTGTCGAAGACAAAGACGAGGGGGTCGGCGCGCGAGAGGGGGTGAAAGGAGCGAGGAGAGGCGCGAGGGAGAGTTCGGGGGAGTTCCCGAGAGGTGCGGTTGAGCCTGAAGGGAAGGTGAAAAAGCGAGAGGGAGATAAGGAGATAAGGAAGATGGGCGAGAGCTCGCCGGATCTCAGCCTCCGGCTACGCCAGGGCAGCTCCGACTCCAGAGACTCCTTTTACATGGACTTCGCGCAGGTACGGAAGGAGAAAAGACGGAGAGTCCTGTAGATTAAAAATCATCTGTCTTGAGTAACCGAGGGTAATTACCCGGAAAGATTTCGAATGGCGTGACGTAAATCACGGGACTGCCAAAATTTTCCGATTCACCAGTTCACGTTATGACGAATAACGACGGAAAAGTGACGGACAACACTATTTACTGAATGTTTCTTCTCTTTAGCACGTTTTTGAAATCCGCCTTTATCACTTTATAGAATTGTGAAATCTCAATGTAGTATACATCTCCGAGTATGAAAGTATATGATATTAAAACACAACACATACACATATGCAGAAAGTTCAATAATTACTCCTTTATTTTCGACAATTGATAAAGAGTGACAGATAATAATTTTTGGGACGCGAATGTCAGAATTTGATAAATTTCTATTAATGTCATGCTCGTGATATTTTCAACTCTATATTTGACCCTTCTAAAATCGGATTAAAGCGCAGCGATGTGTCACTGATATGTCACACCACTAAAGCTCCGAAAGACGAATTCAATATTCTCAGTGTGGGACAATTAAAAATTTGTAAAATTTGTAAAATTGATCATCCTGCAACTAAATCATTTACTATTCGATTAAAAACTTGTACCTATCAAATATTTATTCCGTTCACATGTCATTTCACGTTATTGGCAAACGTTATGCTTTTTTATTGCTGTCAGTTTACCGATATTACGTTTAAACGAATCCTTTTAATTTCATTAAAGTATATCGACTGCAATTTATTCCGTGCGGAAGATATTCCGATATATCCTAAAAAATATCATTTTCTGTGAAAAATGGTTTTTGAGAACTGAAAACTAAAAACGAAACGCATATTTACATCATATATCAATTACGGTATATTTCCTGACTTTATTCCGCAGGGTATCGATTCCGATATCGAGGAAGTGACGCGGCCAGGCGATAATAATTCTGATCCTATGCTGGAAAATCACCTAGAGGAGAACGGGAACGACCTACCGCCGATCGAGGACATTACGACGATCCCTGAGGAGGCCTCGGAAGAATTGAGGGAGGAGGAGGAGGCGGCCGCATTGGAGGCCGCGCTTCGAACGCCAGACGGTGGCACGATTAGCACGGAAATCGAGAAACCGTCGGCCGCGACGATCACGCAGGAGTGAGTACAGAAAGTGCCTTTACCTCTCTGAGATGTCGACCCATAATATGCGCCGCTTGAGACTTGCGCCTCGTTCACTTTCCCTCTTCGCTAATTTTCGCCGATCGTTAACGATTCACGCGCGGCGTGCCTTGGCTGAAGCCACTTGACTGGAAAAGCTGGAACAGGAAGTGGGTAAACAGAACGAATAAGTGGCATTCGCGACCTCACAGCAAAATAAATTTTCCAAACTGGTGAATGTCCAATCCAACCAGTTTTCAATTTTAGCTTTATAACTGACTAATTCGAAAATAAAAATGATGAAAAATTATTAATAATTAATATAAATAATAATGTACAAAATTATTAATTAATTATTATAGTTCAATTTTATATAAGTGAGATTGTTGTTGAGAAACGGCAAGCAGTTTGCCGTTGATTTGACCGTTTTGTATCGATTGTTGCCGCTTTGTATCCACCACCGCAACGTAAATTACAGCCTCCCCTAAAGAGCCGACGTTTCTCCACGTCTCTTCATTGGAGTGACCAACGCCCGGCGATCCTGACGGGCGGCATTAATCACCGTCTGCGATTAACGCGCATTTCCCTCGTTTCCCAGCGTGTACGACCCAGCGTACTTCGTACACCGTCGGCAATTAAACTTGATCGTGAAAAATGCCTCCGCGATTTCGTAGGAACACGCCGATTTCCTCCGCGCCATCAATCCCACATTCACATCATTCAAATGCGAATCTCTTTGAGTTCTGACAAACGCGAGGAACTGTCTCGACGCTAATTTTTTTTTTTTATTCACATTTACAATTGCCAATATTATAGCACATGTAGACGCGTGACATGGTTTAGAAGTACCTATGTAATATTATTAGGTCATTTTACGTCATATGAAATAAAACTTTTATTTACAATTGCAATTTCAAACAGAGGAGAATTTATCTGTCTGTGTGTTATTGTCGCGAACTGAAAGGAAAACGCGCGCAGTTTCCCGTACGACGTCTCGCACAATAATGCGGGTCTTTGTTCGTGCATTGGCTTTTACACGTTGTTCGCCGCGATGTCTCGAATGGAACCGATTTACCGGCCCGAATGCCAAGTCCCTCTCGAATTCCAACGTGCAGGAGCGTCTGATTTGCGCGCGTATTCGGTCCATCCGCGAAACTCGATTACTTCCGCCGGATATCGAACGCGAATTCGCGTGCATTCGGAACGACCGTCGGCGTCAGAGTTAATATTGACCTGTCACTCGGTTATGGTTTACGTTCGATCTCCGTGCCGTCCCTTTCGCTTCCGGCTCGACCTTCGGAGAGATCTTCTAACCACCCCTCCTTCCTTCTAAATCTCCATCCCCCGAATCCTCCAATCTATCAGAAAAGCAGCTTATTCCCTCGATTTACATGCAAATTCAATCAGCGTAGACATGTACTCAAGACGATATCGACAGCGCGAGAAGTTCATGTCACTTTGTATATTTGCAGTTTCTAAGACGGCGTCAATATATAATTAATTTAAAAATGAGAGTACAGCCTGATGCAAAGATTGAAATTATTATATCCTGCAAAAATGCAATCGTGCACGCCTCGTTTCGTTCGGGGATAAAAAATTTTCTGGTCATACCAGAAGTGTCGTACGATGGAAAATTTATATTCCACAATCTTCCGACGAAGGAGCATCTCTCTTTTTCGTTGAATTTGTCGTCTTGATGGGAAAATGGTGGGAGCGGTGGGTCGAGGAAGTGCCGTCAGTTATTTTCCAGTAAATGTACGAAGGCCGATCTCGGGAGGCAGACGGAATAAAAATCGAAACGTGAATATTAGAATATTTTCACGTATACGGTATTTTCACGTATCTTAGAAGTGATATTCACTGTGCACTTCACTATTCACTTTCTAAAATCTCTTAAAACGAAAAAACGGTATTATTAGTTTTTCAACTCGGTTTTCTCAAAATTGCATGTAAAGACATTTTTTGCTTTTGATTTAAGCAAAAATGTTTTTACATGAGAAAACCGAGTTGAAAAAAAATATATAAGTTGTTATAATAATATAATATTTTATATATATAAAATATTATTGTAATAATTAATAGCTTCCCTATATTAAGAGAAAAAAATAGTTCTGACTAACCAACTATATTTATGATAATTATAACATCTAAGCATCTGCAACTTAGTTTTTCAAACTAATAAGCACGAAATAGTATTGAATACAATAAAAGTATAATCATGGTGACAATATATGTGAATTATTGAGTGAAATAGCGACTTAACTATAATTACGTTGTTATATAGATTTTATACAAATGGAATATTACATTTTTTCAGTTTAGACAAATATTTTTGTGAAGCAGAATGCCACAATATCATTGATATAAATTGAAAAAAAATACATACTGACAACAATAGCATATAATATATTAGTTTATCTAATAATTTACTACAAATGATTAATATTACTACTATACTTATTATTACTATATTTTCATGGTTTCATATAATTTGTTGACTGTTTTTATTATAACTTTACTATATATAATTGTGGCGCTACTTATATACAAATTTCTAGTCGCTGGTACGACTCTTTTCTCCGAGTGTAACACCTATTGTTCGCAAAATCCTGCTTTGCATCTAACACACAGTTGCCAGTTTTTTCCCCCGTTTTCCTGTGTTAATCTCCGTTTTCCCAACCCGAAATCTTTCCCTCTCGAATTCCGACACGTAACCGAGACAAAGCGATCAGCTGGCGCACTGGCGATGTACGGTGCGGTGTTACGCCGCTGCAAATTTGATATACCGCTAACGAGTTCGCTATCAAACGGTCGCACATCCAGGCAGGGAGACAGAGAGAAATGATACGCGAAGAGAAGGATCGATAGATACAATGGTCAGGGAGCCGGTCTGCCCCGGTTAGGGCCTCAGTTTGTGATGCGGGGTCCGTGAGTGCCGTGTCACGAGCCGGGGAGGGCCGTGATAGTGTCATCCGTTGGTGAGGGCCGTTCATGAGGGCCAACGTACCACCGAGACGATCGAGGAAAGCGCGAGTCAAGGTCACGGGTATGCTCATCAAGGAGACGTCGCTCAGGTATCACGATTTCGCCGCCCTGCGTTTGATCGTATCGATCGCTAGAAAAAGGTTTTCTCCGAGCTTGTACCTATACACGTTGCGCGTACATTTGGCGAGATTTAATTAAACGCTGATATTGCTTCAAGGTAGAAACTATGTTATATGAATGCGACTATTTTGTCACTTTTTTATTACAAGAAAAAACGGGGAGCTTTTGTATAAAAAATTTACCGTTGCGTGAGATAGGATAAATTGGAAAACGCACTAGAAGGAGACGGGATGTGAGGGATAGTAAGTGACGAACAACGAAATGACAAGTGATGGAATCGATGTTTTTCCATTCGACAGGCGTCTCGGAAGCGTAATTCCCATCGTAATATGCGGAAAGTGATGGAAATGAAAGGCTAGCGAGCTGGAATTTCCGAGGCACAAAGTTCAAAGGGACCGCGCGAGAAGTCCCTGAATTTCTGAATAAGAGATGTACTTTGACAATGGGGCTGCGGCAATTGAATTCAAATGAAATACCTCTGACGCCCTTACAGAACGCGGAGAATTTCTCTCGGAAAATCGCATCGACATGCGATAGATTATGTACATAACAATGAAAAAATGCAACTCGTTTTTCGAAAAAATCCGAAAGGTACGTCTATCCAGCAATTTTGCAAATACGAAAACGCGTGTCTTTATAAAAAAAACCAGCTTTAAAGAAAATTTTTGTGGAAGAGAAAGAACATTGATGTTACAATCTTTCACTCTCCTTCGTTTCTGACTTTAAAAAGTCTGAATAGTTTCTAGATTCAATTAAATTAGAAGATAAATGATGTTTGATCGAAGCATAGGACATCGATCAATTCATGCGCACCGAACTTTATCGTCATCTCTAAACAAATTAAAATTGCGAAAGAAACCAGGTCAGCGTCGTGTCAAAGTCCGCTGAAAGGAACCTTAATAAATGATATAATAAATCCGGCCGAGAAAAGTTACGAAAAAAAAGAGAAAAGATACTGAGAAACGAGATGCCGCGACAGAGGATGGCGATGGATGGAGGATAGCGTAAGGGCAGGAGATTTCCACGAAAGGGTGGGCAACGCGCTGGCGTTCTCAAGCCCTTCGCAACGAGGGACGACACTCGACCACTGAATCAACCCTCTCAGTGCCCTCTTGTCCTATCCGTTTTTCCCTCGGCCAACGACATCCTCTCTCGCTCCAACGCTTCACAACGCTACGTGATTATTTCAAAAAGCTCGGAGGCAAGAGACGAGCTTCCGTCCTCCTCTTCTCGTTGCCTTTGTATCGCGCCAAAGCCACATTTTCGCTGCTAAAAAATATTTTTTACACCGTTCCGCATGCAAAACGAGAGAGAGCCAGATTCCTTTTCTTACTTTCTTCCCGACATCGTAAGAATCAACGATGCATCAGATCGTTCATCTCCTAAAATAAAAATCCCAAAACAACGTTGCATCTCTTGTGAAACATCAAAGTGCCTAATTTCTATGATAATGCTTATGATGGTAAACGAATCAGGCGCATAGACTGTTTTTAAACGGTCTTTGTGATAAAAATTTGAAGAAATTTAAATTAGAATTTACATCAAATTAGAAGCTAAATTAGAATAACACAGAGACTAAGAAGATAAAAAAATATAGATATAATAATTAAAAAAAAATAATTTTTATATATGTAAGTAATATCAGTTCGTTTAAAATAACCATAATATAATCCTTCCTTTTAGATTTTATTAATACAGAATTTCATAAGATATTATTTTATAACAATTTAATGAATATATTTAATGTCACGTATTAATAATTTTTACATATTTGTAAAATAAAAAATATATACGTATGCAAAGAGCGAGAAAAGCACGCTTTATCGCGTATCGGATTAAGTACCTTAGTTACGACTATTATTAGATAAATGACTCGTGTTAGAAAGTCAACGCTACGTCATTTAATGATACTCACAAAGCCATCAGCACTAGTCGGTCTCTTCCTGCAGCCAGTGTCAATGTAATGTGTCAAACATTATGGCACCGGGTTGACCTTAAATCAAACGGGCACGTGGATTTATATAAAAATCGTCTATAATAGAGTGGATATAGATTTACATGTATTTATCTTTTAGATACATATATTTTTTTTATTTCTTTTTATATCTATCTTATATCTTTATAAAGCCATATATGTATATAGCGAATATAAGTAATTAACTACCGACGCAGCTAATTAAAAAGAATAAAATATCATGAGAAAATATAAATGTAGAATTAAAGTTGTACTAAATGGATTCGTCGCTAATGCAAGAATAAAGCCATTTTGTTAAAAAAATAATCGAAACTTATCGAGCGAATTAATTAATTAAAATGGCTAATGGCAATTGCTGCGAAAGGCGTGGTTATAAAGTTGCTGGCAATTTCCACGAGCCATCACATAAAATGCATAAAAAATGAAGGCAGACACATTTCACAAGTTTACTTGAAAGTAAATTTTTTTCTCACTTAAATACCAAAGTGTGTAGCGCTTATATAAAATAAATTATGTCCTTAAATTTATATCTTTCCAACTTTAGAATGCGTACCTCGCTAATTACATACAATAAATTAAGTATGACTATTTGAATCTCAATTCAATTTGTTATCACAATTCTAAAATCTTCTTTTATTCAAAAGAAAATGATAGTCATCGCGAAAGCTGAACAGATAAAATAATTTACAAAAACGATTAGAAAATCAAAGCAGATTTCCGAGATAGAATTTTTTTTACATTACACATACACACACACACACACACACACACACACACACACACACACACACACACACACATGCACTCTTCTCTCTAGCGTAGACATAAATCGATCATCTGGCAAGATATTTTTATCTCAACGAGGAAATATACGTACAGAGCACGAATGACGATCTTAAAAATAAAAAAGTCCCAACTTCGGGGAGCAGAATGGATAATAATATAAAAAAAAATATATTTTAATAGATACGAAATAATAATAGACATGTTCCGTATAGCTGGCCAGGACTGCCGGTTGCGCTGCCGTCACCAGCCTCACCATCGGCGGTAATCGTTTCGCCGGAAACGCTGTCTAGACACAGCAGCAGCTCACCTTCTCGCATTCACCGGCCACCCCAGTTCGCGTTGGCCCTGCCATGCTCCTCACAACCGATTCCGGCGGTCTGCTATCCGGCGCCGACCTTCCTCGAGGTCACCGACGAGCGGAAGTGGAAGAACCTTGGATGGTGAGTAGCGGATCAAACGTTTCGCCATCGTATCGAGGTCGACGTACCGACTTCTAATCTCAGCGTTTCTCCTGGCATTTCGCGTCCGACGGAAATCCTCCGAATTTTCAACAAATAAACGTTATGCGCAGTTATAACAAGAAGATTAATAAGCAGAAAATTACAATTTTTAGCTTTTATGTAATGGTAAAATATGATGAATGATTTATCTAACAGAAGAGTGCATATAGTAATTTTACGCGTGATAAATTTTACACGTAACGACTTTGTATGTAGTAATGCGATTAGATATCATTAATATCATTAATTGGATTATTAAACGCAAAGAAATTTGCAATTTGTTAATTACTGGATCTGTAGCGATATTCATTAATATATCTATATTATTTTAAGTAAAGGACCGATTTTAAAATTAAAATTACAGCACTTACTTGTTTACAGAATTATCAATTTAAATAACTATTTGCTTACATAATCTGACAAAATCATGTGAGAAACTTTGAGATGTTAGAGTTTTGTATAAATCGATTTTGTTGCAAATCATGCGTCGTCAAGAGAGACTTCGCGACTTGAATTCATTTTCGTTGTCCGATATACGCCAAGGGGGGGGGGGGAAATGCCAATCACCACGGAAATTTCACGTGATCCTCCAGGTTATCCTGACCGACGTCTGTACCGCAATTACCGGCACTTTATGAATCAAACACACGCGTACAGGCGACCAAGCGATTACTCGTAATTGAGCCAATTCTTACGGGGGTGGATGTATTTGCGGCCAATGGTACCTCCGCTGTATGTAATGTTACACGATGATGTGCATCGAGCTAACGATCCATCATTCGCGCGGCTGCCCTCAATCTCTCCCGTTTTCAATGATTCCTTCGAGAAAAGACGTTTTTATCCGGGTCAGGGCCGAGAAAGGGGATTTATCCGCACGCAAACTTTCGTGCCGTCGTTATGAAAACGTCGTTGCGACTCTTTTAATTCTCCTCGATTAAAATGAATAATAACAATTGTCACGGCGATAAACGAGACTCACGTCTGGATTTGTACGCGCGTGTATAGCGAGAGAATTATTAGTCCATTCGACACGGTTCACCGATTTAAATTCCCCTTTGCCGATGAAAAGGCCGGTGTGGCGGGTTTATAGACGAGCGGATTTATATAAAATTCCTCATCGATGTATCTCGAGCGAAGAGATCCATTTGATACCCGGCAAGTGGAGTGACGCTGAGGAGAAACGCGCGCGTGATTCCTCAAAGTACGGCCGGAGATGGATCTATTTCCTCGCGCGAGGATTTAATCCGCTCGCTACGCGGATCCGCTGCTTTCGTTCAGCTTCAATTTCCGTTTTCTGCTGCAGCGACGCCCTGGCGACCACTCTGAGCGCGCTGTACGGGAAACTTCTGGTCGTGATGGGGATCGCCTTTCCCATGGCGGAAGTAATATCCACGTACATACCGCCGTCATTCTACGAGGCTTTCTACCTTTACCTCTACTTCGGCAGCATGATCTTCCTCGTGTACATGTACGCCATGTTGTTTACGGACAACAAGACGAAACCAAGTGAGTTCAGAAACACTGTAAAGAATTTACCTCGTTCGATCGTCGTCCCTATCCGCCGTCGTGATGAATATTTCCAGTCCAGTAGGAAATATCGATTTCATGCTCTTACGTGCAAAGCGACGAAAAGCATGCTCCGTGAGATTTACGCGCAAAAGTATCTACTTTAAAGCTTCCCGTGGCCGAACCGCCGCCGAGTCGCTTTGGCAATCGCAGCCTTACATACCGATCAATCTACATTCATGGTGACGCAATGTTTTATATATATATATATATATATATATCTCATCACGACGACCTCGCTCCGTTCCTCGTCGAAATTCCTCTCTCGGTCGGCAGCGATCGCCAAAACGGGAACGGGTCACCGGAGGCGGCGCGAATTTCATGTGAAATGACAGGCGATCGTTGCCGTAATAATCGCCGTAATAACCGTTGCCTGACGTAATTAACCCGTCCCGTTTCGCATAAATCGCAAACTCGCGGAGCAGAGAAGCAGAAGGACGTGTGCGATCTGGACTCGTCGAGATCGTCGAGCGGCGCCGGCGGCGACAGCGACGCGCCTGAGACCGGATGCCCGCACATGAATCCGGTACGTCCGGTCCAGCACTATGGCAGCTTCTATCTGCGAATGGGCGCCGTGGCGTTCGGCATCGGCTCGATGATCTACTCGGGGCTGGAGTTCGGCCAGTACTTCGAGCTGGAGCAGAACACCAAGTGCCACAACATCATGCTGGCCCTCACGCCCGCCACGAGGATGGCCTTCATCTTCATCCAGATGTACTTCATATTCCTGAACAATGAGGTGAGTGGGCGCCGAGTGTGAATGACACGTACGCATTCCCACGTAACTCGTAACCTTACTCTTAATGAGTCCCTCATCGTTTATGAAGTTTCATTTTATATATACGACGAAAATATCAAGGATCACCGTTTGTGATCGTTGTGACTTTTTAATTTCCGAACGCTGTATGTCTTTATGGTCGAGTCTTAAATTAAAACTGTTGTTGAAACAAAGTCTATGTGAAATTAATTAGAAAAAATGGAATTGTAATATGGACGATAAAGCTTATAAGAAGATTAAATGTATATAGGAAGTTGCTATATTGATTTCTTGAGAATCGCTCGAACACATATTGTATTGGAAAACCTCGATGGTGTAACCCTCGATGGGAAATCTGCTGATGGAAGTATCGAGCTAACACAAGCTCGACGGTTACGGGGTTAATGAAACAGAAGGGTGAACAACCCTAAGAGCAATAGTAGAACGTGACTATCCGAGCGTTCTACTGCCTCGTTGATGTAACATACTACCCGTTTCTTTCTATTTCTAATATTAATTCTCAACAAATTAAACTTTTATCGCGGCTCATCTAAAATCTAAAACGATTAAAAAAAATTTATATCCAAAAAAAATTGTTGATGAAAAAATTGTGTACTTTCATACAATTTGTTTCTCTCCTTTGTCGTTAAAATCGACCATATGTGTGTATAATAAATAAAAACACAGAAATAAATATTTAATTAAAAAAACAAGTTATAATATTTATTATATTTTATTATAAATTTTGTTATTTTATTATTAATTACCAAATATATAATTTTGCTATGTTAACATAAATATACACATCTATAAAAAGAGACATAAAGGTAAAATGACATATTTGATATTAATATTAATAAGATTGCCTTTCATATTCTAGCAAATGAAGGTTTATCGTCATCGCGTCGTGGCACGTTTCGGATTAATGCATATGATCGGCACGAATCTATCAGTCTGGCTGAATGTTCTTGTGCAAGAAACAAAACACGAGATCCTCACATTTTATAATCCGGAAAACAACTCCCTCAGGATCTCTCACAGACTAGGTAAACGCGCGTCGTCAAAGCACAATATTCCATCACAATTTTATAAGCCATCTAACTTTTGAATTTTTAGGCACGAAAGGAGGACTTCATCTCGGTGGTCACATCCATTCTCATCACGGAGAACACGTGCGACTGCCGCGCGGTCTCAAAGGACCCCATCACATGTTCGAATGCAGAAGGACGAATATAATGGGATCATTGGTACAAGACGCCAGTCCCTTTCTCTTCCCGTGCACGATAGAATATAGCCTGATCTGCGCGGCTATTTTATACGTAATGTGGAAAAACATATCGAAAGCCGGATTTACGCAACCCACGATGCCACCGCATCATCACGCACACGCCTACAGGTATAATGACAATATATTCGTCTATGGCCTATAGTAATAATACACGCCCACAGCTGCGGCAACAATACATGCTTACGGAAGTACGCAAATGACAACCTTTAGTTTACGAACTAATTCCGTTGTCGCGTAGCCTATGGAAAAGTCGATTGCGCATAATATTCTATTCGCGGAGCAACGCGATAATAAAATGTCACTACACAACACACACGTTACGCTCAGTCGCGAATTCGCAAAGAACGTATTCTTCAAAGAACGAATTCTCATTATTATTCGCAGGAAATCGCCTCACCATTATAGCGTAGACTGCGCCCGCGCGCACAAAGGCCTCTTCGTGGGTATTCTAATTCTGGTGCTGACCATAATCTCCCTGATCCTCTTCTTCGTCCTCATCTCGCGGCCTGAGCTGGTCAGCCTCGCCGTGACCGAGGTGAACATCTGCGAGCTGACGCTCTACGGGATGTCGACCCTGGCGACGCTGGTCGGCATGTTTCAAATGCGCAAACTACGCTACGACGGCGGCAGAAATCTGGAGCTGGACAATATTCTCCTGGTGGCCGCTCAGACCGGCATGTTCATCTACTCCACGTTCACCATCATCGGCGGTCACTTCACCTTGCAGAAACACACGGTCCTCGTGCTGGTCACCGCTCTGGCCAGCGTCGTCCAGACCACTTGTCAGACCATCTTCATTCTGGACGCGTCCAGACGCACGGTCGCCACCGCCGAGCAGATACGCAGAAAGCCGGGCAGAGAGATTGTGACGTTCCTCCTGGTGACGAATCTGGCCATGTGGGCGATCAACACGCTGGAGAAGTCACGAGCGGAGTCGCACCCGGTGCAGCTGCACTTCTATGGCTTATGGGCGTGGACGATCATCACCCACGTCTCGATGCCGCTGGCGATCTTCTACAGGTTCCACAGCACCGTGTGCCTGTGCGAGGTGTGGAAGCGGGCCTATAAGGTGAAACCGACCTACATGTGACGCAAGGGGTCCCGTGAGATCGTATGGAAGACCGGTGGGATCCCGTCGCGGCCCAAGAGTCAACTGTCGAGGCTTGACGCCATCGCGGAGAACGATTCGGCGTACTTCATATGATCGAGAAAGACGTCGAGTCGCGACGGAGATTGTCGAATCGCGCGACTGGCGCGAAAACCATCTTGGAGAGCGGCGTTATAAGTAGACATCGATATCTTTAGACGGGCAGAACTTTTCTAGGCGTCCGGATCCACGATTAATACGCGTTAATACATACATGACAGTTCGTACACACAGTAATTTGTATCAATTTCAGGGTATTTCGGAAAGCTAACGGTATATAAAAGCAAATAGACTTGGAGACTCGACAACGGTGTCTCGATATTATATACGTAATCTGATTACAATTAGAGAAGAAGACTTTCGGCACAAAAATGCTCATAGAGACTAATTGTCCCATAAACATAGGTTACTTCGTCATTTATCGACGGTCAGTGTTCTAGCTAGCCTTGTACGAATAAATGTTGGCGATTTCCATAGAGTTTACACAGCGCCATTGTGTAAGTCTAATATTATTTTCCAAAATGGATCATTGTCCCACCGAGAAGTATCATTATGGCTCACGTTAAAAAGAATAACTTTATCAAGGTGCAAAAATCATCTTCAGAAATGAGCGTATTGAAATCTTATCGATTATAGGCCAATATATCGAAGCACTATATTATATACATTGCCTCCTTGATCCCTAGTCGATTACTTTTTAGAGATTTCGACGATTAAATAATCCTTTTATCCACCAGCGATACCTGTAAATAGCCATTTGCGGCTTCATCGCGCTATAAAACCGACACAAAGAGGGGAGATTTACAAATCGCACAAGCACGCTTATCAGAATCGCAATGCTCACGCGACAAAAGGGACATTACACGTGCGCATTGACGCTTGCCATTATCACAACTTTTGCCCCACAGCGATAATCCTGCGGAACAAAAATAATAGAACAAAGTCACGGTACAGGAAAGGAGAATTTCATTCGATAAAGGAAGGTTCCATCGCGATAGCAATGGATAAACGATCTCGTTATTCGCACTCTGTTTCACAATAACGAATGCGAATCGATAGGAGATAAGAACAGCATTTATCTGTTACATGAAACAATATTTTTGGAAAGTGAACTGGAAATAATCAATTGTACGTCAGATGATCAGACTTGGTCAGGCATAACCTGCAGAGATCTCCTGCCGAGATGAAATTCACTGATAGATGTTGAATCGATGCCTGTTACATACATTTTAACATTTTTCTCTTATAGATATTGAAATAGACATTTCATTAGTTCAATCGACCAAAAAGGAACGATTCGACATAAAGTCACGGAGAAACATTGATCTTTATTACATATTTCAACTGTAACGCTCTCGCTTAAATATCAGAACGCATGATTCTGTAGGCGACAAAATGTCCATTTGTTAGACGTAGAGAGGATTAGATTTTTCTTAGAACCAATCTGGTCGAAGCGTAGGGTCTTCGATCAATACGGGAACAATGAATCTTCTACGTTCGATAAATTTTTCTACTCATTTCGAGTGACGGAGCGAGTGTTCGGGAAAGAGCTAAATTTCCTCTTTCTAAAGACTGAAACGTACGTCAGGAGAATGGTCAGAGCACTAAGCACAAATCCACTACGAGCCGATAGAACCGATAGTCCTGTAGTCCGAATATATATGGTGCTTGCAAAGCACTTGGACAGTTTCACGGATATCCGTCTTCCACGTAGTACAAAACTGCAATTTAAACCACAATTGTCGCGTCCATGCGGACATGGTTCGAGAGGTAAAATAAAAGCGACGAGAGAATTAGATTACGAGTATGTTCAATAGTGCAAACAGCAAAGATCTTAGCCTAAAGTTCATAGATTTTCGTGATAAACAAAATTATAGAACATTACAAAATTATGGAACACTACGTGATGCGATTTACACAGATTTTAAATATAATTGACAAATAAATCTCGCAGGGATTAGAAATATTTTGATATCGACAATGAAGAAAAATATATTTCTCTTTGATTTTCTATTTGAGATTTTCTATTTGACAAGCTCAAAATCCATTCGCTCGATCCGAGAAATTTAATGTCTTTCGAGCATGTTGTCCATGTAATTCGATAAAGAAAGAGAACCATGTAGATATTAAATATTCTAAAAAAAAAATATTCTCACAAATCGGAGAACTTTAGTCTTTTTATACCTGAAAGGATGTACGCACAAAAAGATTTATAAATATAATTTTAGACATATTAGACATATTATTAGTAGAAATTGACTCATAGAAGAAGCATAAATAATAACGATTAGTACCGATGTTAACAACCGTGAATTACGATGCGCGGACATTTTATTGTCGTTAAATTTTTATTATCGAGAGAAACTTATTTTACGTCAGGTTCAAAAAAACTCAGCGATCAGTTCCGAGTGTGTTTATTACTCGCTCGCGTAAATTTTCAGAGATGAAGCGAGGACGAATTTTCAGAGATGAAGAGTGAGGGAGACGTTCGAAATACAGTACAACGGCTGATCATATCATTAAGCCTTAAATCCGTCAAGAAGAGTGCTGTCCGAACTTTGATAGGAGATAAAGGGGATCAAGATCGATCGCGAGCGACACGCGATCTCGAAACTAGAAGCGACCTACTCGAGTTTCTTTCATGCTCAATCGACAGACGTGATGATGAGATCACAGAAGCGAGAGGAGAGCGAGCGAACGAGCGAATTGACTTGTGCGGTCGCGTACGAATGTATGCGTGCATGCTTGGACGCGTGTATGTGTGTGTGTGTGTGTGTGTGTGTGTGTGTGTGTGTGTGTGTGTGTGTGTGTGTGTGTGTGTGTGTGTGTGTGTGTGTG